AATGAAACTTTATAGGAATTAATAATTTTTTTAGATCGTAAAGCCCATTGTAGTTAAGAGCTGAACGAGCTGTAAACGACATCAATATCATTCTGTGAACTCGAATGGATTGGCGGATTAGGTCCACGTCATTCGAAAACGATGATATTTGTGCTCAGGTTCATTGTATTTGTGATTTGGTGTTAGCTAGCTGAAAGAAGATAGATCCACATAATATTATATTTTGAAAAATTATATTTATTCGTTGTCACTGAACTTTTCGATCTCGCCTCATAATGAGCGCACATCTTAAAAGCAGCTACAATTCTTATTTTGCTCTTCATTTCTCTGCATTTTGTTATTATAGTGTTGGTATGATTGTCATCACACTTGTTTTTATGTCGCAGCGCCTTTGTAACTACTTTGAAGTCATTCGCTAGTCTTGACAACAACATCGCATGTGGCAAGGACGACAACAATAACAGCAACAAATGTGCTGATAGTTGCCAGGCGTCTTGTTGCATCGTTCATTACAGCATTCAGTTGTTGCTTGATTCATTCATTCATTTATTCTTGCAACCGTCCGGCTTACTGTCTTTATGTTTGCCACTGCTGTTGTTGTTCTGATTGTTATGCTTCTTCTTCCTTTCTGCACAAATTGTAAACAAGAAAATTATGCAAATCATATGAAGGCATGAACAATGAAAAATAGCAAGAAATTGCATTCATCCATTGTTTGCCTGATGCTCTTCCCCAGCAATGCTATGTATCTCACTCTCCCATTCGTCTAACTACATCCCGCTACGGGCTCATCGAGCAACGCCACGTTCGTCTGTAGCCTTTTCTTTCACTTACTAAGTGCGATGTAAACAATTACAAAGCATAAATTATATTCCATTATGGAAAATACTGATCTAATAAGCGTGCAGTCGAAACTCTTTGTGGGGTAAAGAGTGGTGAACTGTTTACTTGAGAATGAAGAAAATAAGTATAAATTTAACGAAATGATAAAATACAAGTTAGACCTAATGAGAATATACGAAACAGTTAATTAATTTCTTTTATTACGAGTATCGCTCGTTAAGACAGTGACATCGTGGAGATCATAGTATTTCATAAATTGGTCTATTTTTCATCTTACATAATTAATTTATATAAATGTTTTTTCCTCTTCAAAATAAGTGTTTTCAAGCCAATTTGTTATATTTTGAAATTAAGCTCGTGGTGGGTACAGTTCGTGGCGTAGTTCTGAACTCTTCAATAGGTTTTGTCACATTCGTTGTATACCTTGTCTGTAAGAATTTCAACAGACTCTGTGGCCTCACTTACGATACCTCTTCCGGTGTCTGTCAGCCCCAAGCTGCAGGCGGCTGCCGCCATCAAACTGTGACCAGTGAGTATTTCAATAATGTTCCTACAGTCTCTTCCATAGAGTGCCAACAGGAACAAGCTAATTTCTTTGCAAATTTGAGATAGTTTTCTTCTTGATTAACTGTTTTACCTGTATCTGTTTTGGATCTGTCCATATCGGCATGCGGGTCGTTTCTACATTTTTCAAGTTGTTCAAGTCTTCCACTTGGTATTATTGTTTCAAAACTAGATAGTTTGCCTTCAAAACTTCCACTGCCGCCGTGTTCCCTTTACATCCTTAAACGCGGATTCCATGAATTACTAGTTGCCAGAAATACACTGAAAAACTTGCAAGTCCAACGACCCGTCACTTTATTAATTCAGCATAAGATGAACGAAATTGCTGCTTAAAATATTAGCATACAATTTCTGTGGGGTATGTGTTGAGGAGGGTAGAAGTGTATAAAAATATATCATAAACGGAAGCTACATGACACTTTTGGCGTACGCCATTCAACTGCAGTGCTTTTGTGCGTCAAATGAATTTATTACTGAGCCTAACTAAGTAACTTCTTCAGACAACTGCCATTTAATAGCTCAGCATTGAGCGGCAGATAGCCGCAAAAATCGCTTTAGCGAGTCAATTGCGTGCGTCCAAAATGGATGGAATTGTTTTCTAGAATTAATTTGCATACATATTTTAAGACATGCTGTGCTTTTCAAAAGCTTTTAAGGCTAAAATTTATATTCTTTAAAAATTTTATTATATTTCAACGTTTCTACTTGCTTTTTTTTTCTGGCGTCCTTGCAAGTCAACCATAATTTGTCTCAAATGCATGAAAATGAATGGCGTTGCGTATATCACAAGTTGTTGTTGTTATAAATTTTCTTATTTTTGTTGTTGTTGTATTTGTATATTTTAAAATGGTATTTTTTTATTTGAGTCATTGTTGTTATTGCCCAAGTGGCACTATTACCGGATTAAGCATTGATATACGAGCGCCCAATGTTGCGGTAGCTGTCGGCGGCTGTTGGCTGTCGTTCGAATTAAATCCCACAATAGCGCATAAAAATGATAAGTGGCCATGAGTTGCATCAGTTGGTGTGAGTAGGCATGCGCGTATGAAAATCTATGTGTACGTGTGTATGCAAGCGTGTTGGCGGTTTGCGAGTCAACAGCGTTGGGAGTTGCCAGTTTTACAAATATGTTTCATTTTTTAAACCCCACCAAATTGCTTGGGATAAACTGGGCAAATGACAAAAGCGCTATTGTAATACTCACGCAAGCAATACACGCCCTGTAGGAAAAATTTTTATATATGAAAATTTCGTAAAACTTCGGTGTCGGCTTGTTAGGCATTTATACCTATTTTTTAGTAAGCCAAGCAGACTTCGACTAAAAAGCATGTTAGAGTTGGTGCTCTATATCAAGTAAGTGGTTCCAGAATTTTTAAGCCGCTTAGATTTGTCTGTCGGACAATTATTTCTTTGAATTTCTGAAAGCAAAGAGAGAATGAACAATATTTTCGCAAACACTTCGTGTACTCTTCGCTGGGTCAATAATCTATATTATACTTAGCATTGTCTCCCAATATATTAGTTGAAAAAAATCAATTCTGGAAGAGTAAATTAGTGTTTTTCTGATTGATGAATGAAAAACGAAATGAGCTGAGAGTAAAAGTTGTCGTGAAGTATTTATTGTTTAGAAAATATGTCTGTATTGAAAGTTGAGTTACAACCAAGAAAATCCGACGTGAAAAAGTTTGGATTTATTCTAATAAGGTTCATACTTCGGCAGGCAAAGTCGAAACTCGTTTGTACTTTTGACATTTCTCTTTAAAAATCCATCAGTTATTTGGCGGTATATTTGTAGTCTAACAGCAAAATGCAACCAGCAAGCAACAGCAGGTCCTAGTTTAAATACACCACAAAACGTTTACTGCACCCGATGCATTTTAATTATATTGAGGCTACAGCTCTACAAGAAATCATGGAGATGAATCTAAATGACAATGACTCCCTTTGTATAGGTTTAGCGAGAAGAGTACAGATCTTTATATTTAACCCGTCTATGAAATTTTTAGTAGAACCATTTTTAGTTTACGATTGTATAACGGTGGACATCATCCGGATGGCGAGATAACATTGGCAAACATAGTACGTAGGTACTTTTATATTTCGAGATTTGGAAAGCCTAGTGTTGCAATCTGGCAAATCATAACTTTATCGTAAACTTTGATATTTTTGATGTTATATATAATCACAACGTTTTGACATACGAGATATACGACATATTTGTGTTATTTACAGTAACTTAAAATATTCATCTCATATGACATATCGTGATATATAGACAATTATATATTAGTGTTCAGCAATTCAATATTGCATACACATTTGATTGGCAATACATTTGTTCAGGTTGGATCCCACACTATTTGTCAATCGCTTAAAAAAAGATTCGTATCGATTGGTCGAGAGATATGAGAGAGACGTGATCGTAGACCGTCCAAAAAATTTTTTATCGAGATTCAGATATTAAAAAATTTAGTTTTTTGTCCAAAAATTGATATATGTATATATGTGCATAAGCATATGTAGATACAATTAAATTTTTGTTGTAAATATTTATTTAGTTTATTTATAATGTGTATATAAATATTTTTAAATATCTAAATTTTATTTTTGTTTTTTGTTGTAGTTATTATTACTAGAGCTATTTTACAAAAAAAAAACATAAAAAAAAAATTGAAAGCCAGTAAACTGCCAATGAAGTCAAAGAAAATTCGCTGTACAAAAAAATATACATATACTAGTGTATACATATTTATAGTAAATAATATAAATAAAGTGTAAAAATTTTGGGAAATTTTTTAGTTATAAATAAAGTTTATATAGCCACCTTTTGTATAAAAATATTGCAATACTTTTTTTCTGGCAAAATCTATGCAATACAAACAGAGAGGGAGAGAAGAGAGTGAGAGTGCGAGAGAGAACCTTAATTATTTTGCAAAAATAAATAAATTAGAGAAAAAAATATATAATTTTTTTTATTTCGCATTGAGTACTACTGGTTATTTAAAAATAATAACATTTTATAAAAATTAGTATAAATGTTTCAATTAGTTAATTTTTTAATGCAATTAAAAATCATTACATAAATATTAAAATAATTGGTTTATGTAATCTTTCGCAATTTGAATCACTGCTTGGTTCTATGTTAGAAATCAACAAAACTTCTCAGTCAAATAATTATATATTAAACATTTTTTTCTGTCCTTGAAATATTACTGTTTTGTTCTCTTTTAATAAATATATACTATTGATAATAAACAATTAAAGTAATTAAGAAAGCAATTAGGTTAAGTGAATTATTTTCGAACAGAATTCACTGTTATATCGGTTTATATATGTATTTGTATCCAGCGGACTAATTTTTTCCTGTCTTCAAAATAATTATTTTTAATAGTTCAATGCTTTTAAAAACAGCAATGTATAAGCGTGCTGTGTATAAAAAAAAATAAATATACTAATATTTGACTTATATTCATTAAATAATATAATCATACAAAATTGATTTCTTCCAAACACCGGCTTAAAATTAAGCAAAAATTAGCCAACAAACTTCAAGCCAAGCGCTTGAAAATGCAAACAAATTCTAAATACAAATTTATATTATTTATTTGTATATATTATTTCCATGAGGCAAGTGAGAACTTTGGCAATGGTGATTTATTAACAAGATTTAGCTGTCGCGAAACCTCTTTCATCTGTTCGCTCGCATTTTGACCATAGATATTGAAGGGTTCCAAATTGAAGCGGTTAAATCTAAAAGATATTGAATTATGAATTAAGGATATGAATACCCATTACATTGAACAGGACAAATCTATTAAGTAATTAATACAAGTATAAATACAGTTAATTCTAAGTTATATCCTCAATATGAAAACGAAAATTTTCGATCAGTTTATTAAATTAAATGTATTTGACTGTTCAGTTTGTATGGCACCTTCATGCTTAAGTCGTTCGATATAGGCGGTTCGGACAAATTAGCTGCTGCTTGGGGAGAAAATGACATGTGCAAAATTTCAGATCGATATCATTCAGTCCTCAATTGTTGTGACAAATACTGCAAGGATCAATATATTTATGTTGCCCATAACTCTAGGTCATTCAGTTACGTCAATAATATATATTAATTAGGCTGTTATTATAGTGGTATTTCTCCTATATGACAAATATATCATAATATGCTGTTGTAATATGTCAAAATAGCTTTAGTCTACTTAGATGTAGACAATTTAAGTTTTTCTTACCAATTTAACCGACCTTAAATAATACCTAACTAATGGACCTTTGAAATTACCCGAAGCTATAAGAAAATATTTTTACTGGCAACTAAAATGTCTACAATAGCAGGAATCGACTTAAGTTATGTTAACATATGGTATTTTACGGAGATATATTTTTGTTTTTGAAAATTTTTATTCTATTGAGTTTTCTATTAATAAACTTTATTTACTATTCTTTGGTTTATACTCACCTTTCTCCGAAAATCTCATGTAGAAATTTAAAGTAGCTCGGTCGTATGGTCTTCGGTTCGAGAATGCCTGCATGAAAGAGTACAGCCGTACAGAAGGAATACAAGAATAGCGTAAAGCCGGATACATGCGGAAGAATGCCTTCCTTAATGCCTAAATTGTAGTTTATCTATTGGGGAGAAATATATGAGTATATTAAATTTTATTTGGAGAACTCATCTGATATTTACATTATTTAAATGTACTTATATTTTTAATGAAGTACACATGTTTTACTATGTAGCCACCCAATTCGATCCGGTCAGAATCAAATAGTGAACAAGGTTTCTCTTGACACTTTTTATTTGAAAATGGTCAAATTCGGTATTAACGATGCCTACTTTTCATTTAATAACATTTGTAATAAATATCAAATATTTTCGTAATAGCTCCATATATCCTCAAAACCCTTATATACCCAATATAATGATAATCACAATACCACCATTCATTAGGGTTCATTAGGGATTTTTAGGCTTTATTTATTTTTAAGTTATATGATTAATATTTGGGGAGAATGCTTCGTTTAACGTATTATGAGTGCTGCTGTTAAAAATGTATGAAATCGATCCGTAAAAATAAATAGAAATATAAATTTAAGGAATGTCTTACATTCTTGCAGAAGTTTTTTGGAATACCTTTATTTCTAATTGGTTTATATACTTACTTGCAATGCTTTCCACATAACATACAATGCCACCGTTACATCGGGATATTTAGTGAAGGACACGCTGGCCAACAGACCAGCTGGTATGGCGAAGAGTGGATCATCCCGTCCAAAGCTATGCCGCAAGGTACACGAAACACCCTGAACATGTAGAATGCAATAAAATCAAAAATTATGTTTTAACTAATACGAATACAATTTAATAGTATGAGGGTTTACATACGTATGTTTATTTTTATAAAATTATAGAGTTAATTAAGATTAGTGATCTGTTTTTGTTGGCTTGGAATGGAACTCAGTTAAGACTGAACAACAACTAGATTTTGATTTTGCAGAATTTCTTGATGACATCTTGACAAATAAAAACGTTTGCCATACAAAGTCTCGATTTTGATCGATGGGTTTGTACGGTAGCTATATGCTCTAGTAGTCAGATCTGAGCAATTTGTTTTCAGAACATATTTTTGCCTTGGATAACAACCTATGCCGTATTTGGTGAAGATATGTTTTCAAATAAAAAAGGTTTACATATAAGGACATGATTATGATCGACCGATATCGGCGTTTTTGACAAACGAGCAGCTTCTTGGAGAGAAAAGTCATGTTTGCAAAATTTCAAATCGATCGCAAGAACTGAGAAACTAGTTCACGTATATACGGACAGACGGACATGGCTAAATCGAGTCAGATTGTCATGCTGAGCACGGGTGTTATAAACTTCATGGCAAACGTAATATCTGATATTTTCAACACCCACCACTACTTACCTTGTATATGAATGAGAAGCAACCCAAAAATATTCCCAAATCCAGTGTCTGCTTTCTAAATATAGACTTCCGCACATCGAATTTCATTTGTACAATTTTCTTTAAATTCATAATTAAACGCAATGCCACTTGCAGACCCACACCGCCGACGAAAGGCTTGATACCACCCACAAACGCATACTGCCAACAATTAGCACGATGTGGACATGAGGGGTGTCGACTCTTCGCCGCATCCAAAAAGCGTGCATACAGCTGGACCAATACATTTATGCTTCGGAAATCGAGTGGTGCACGCGATCGTTGCGGTGTAGGCGCCTCCGGCTCTTTCGGCACGATCGGTCCTTCTTCCGTTTTACCGACAAAGAAACGTAATATATTGAATAATGAATCTTTACACGCCGTCTTATGTAGACCTAAACGATAGAGATACAATAGTGTTGATATGCTAATGCCGAAGATTAGAGCTTGTCCTTGTGGTATCGAACGCACATAACCGCGTACCTCGGCCATTTGCCAGAGCGTCTCCGTAGCCAAATTCGCTACGTACAGTGTTAACAGAGGACGACGTGCTGGTCGTTCGACCAGTATCGACGCAAAACTGGAGATAAAACAGGGTACGAAAGCAACAGTGGCACAATAATAGTGACCGATTAATTTACGTAACAGGCAATTAAACATAATGAATGAATAGCTATTGGAGGCGAGGAAGGCGGACGATTGTAATATGCCGAGTAGGGTGCGTTTAAGGTCGGTAAGGTTTGGTATGCGATGGCGCATTATGAGTGATAACTGTAATAAGAACAAAAAACAAAGGAAACGATGAAATAAAAAATAAAAATTTGTAAACGATATTATAACGATATATGTTTTGGGTGCTTACCGCATAGACAAATGTGTAGATGCGCAAGCTGTATGGTATTGCGCCCAGTAAGATGCCCGCTGATGCATTTGCACAGCTATCCGTCCATGGATGATTGAAATCTTTGCAGGTGCAGTCAACAGGCGTCAGGATGCGACTAAGGGCGTTCGTCATGATTGCAAGTGTGTATTAGTGGAGTCGTGAACTCACAGCTGTAATGGAGAAGTGAATTGTTTGTTTTGCAAAACTTGTATAAGTAAGCATTTCGAGGTTAGTTTTAATTTACAACTCGGTTATAGAGGTCAAAGGGCAGATCGATGTAAGAAGTTTACGGTTTTTATTGGAGAAATGTTATAGCTTTGGCGCTTCCAAATACACCCCTTTTGAAATGCATTCTTATTTTATTAATTTGTTTAAAAATAAAAAATTTGTCCAAAAACAAAAAGGAATTTCGAAAAATTTCCAAAAATAAAACGAATACTATTGTATTTATTGGGTTAGCCAATGTATATATCCACTTTTATGCAGCTATATTGAGCCAATTTCACAAAAATTCACTATTTATTTATTTTAAAGCAACAATAACAAACACATATGCAATTGTATACTAACTGTTGTTCTATTTTACTACTGTATACTGAACTTTGCTACACTTTATCACTATTAACAGCGGCGTGTTTCGAGCAGCGCGTTTTGTTGTACTTTACTATGTCACAATCTCACAGCCCTTTAGCAGCAGCTGGTGCTAACCCTTATGATAACTCTAAATCAATTGTAAGAAAGCCGAGTCAAATTATCTATCGTCTTCAAACATTTTTGGCCGCCCAGGACGTTTTTCGTTTTTGAAGCGAAAATCGCCACTTTTAAATTCCGCAAACCACTTTTGGCACTTTGGCTAAGCTATTCAGACTTTTGCTATACCTGATTGATAGGGTTCCACAACGCACTTTGAAGGGCTCTAGCTGTCTACTCGTTACCACGATAACCGTGACAGACCCGCAGTCACACAAAACAACCCGCGAGAGTTCAATCTAGGCCACTTTACTGTTCTATGTTTTATTCTTCTACAATAACGAAATTTCTTTTCCTCATCCTCATACTTATTCCATGTATGGTATATTATGTATGTATTAAATTGTTAGCGAACTGGTATAAGGCTTAGCTTATGATATCCTTAAAATCTGAGAGACAATGACTTACTTGATTCGTCTTGAATCACTAAGTGGTTACAGAAATCGTTAAGTGAGCAGCGGCAAGTGAGTTTACCTGAGCACTTAGAACATTATCAAGCGTCTACAGCACCCACACACTTCCCTCGTTGAACGCACTGCGGCGAGAGGAAGCAATTAAATAATAGCTTGTCAACAGAAGTTATTGGTGTTTGTTTTTTAATAAAACACCTTTGCTGTATGTAATTTATATTTCGAAGTTTTTATTTCATTGCTTTGAATTTGAGCGAAGCGCCAAGCAACAGCAGTGTCATAATTTTTATTTAAACATTATTTAATAAGCATTCAATTGGTTTTGAGAAACAATAAGGCTTAAAAGCCGCTACGAATGGATGTATGCGTGTAAGCTCCAAAGATCAGCTGAAGTCAATGAATTAAAACCGGATGATGCAGTGCATGTAGAAAGTTGGGAGAGATAGAAAATAAACTTAAGACTTTCTGTTAGTCACTGAATGGAATCATTGTTGCTATTGTTGTCGTTGTTTTAGCGGTAAAGAACAATCCAGCAGTAATTTGGAGCAATGCTACCGAGTTGACAGTCCTTTGTCGGATAAAAATCCGAGTCCGTTCCGGTAGACCCGACAGTCGTGGGATTGGCAATTGTAGTTGCTGGAGCTATACTCTTGTCTCTTAGCTTAGTAATTGCTACAAGGAAAAATTGAAAGATTGCGTTTAAGTATAAAGAAGCTATGCGATACATGTATGACTAAACACATATATGCATTGTTCTATCGAAAGCAGAAATTTAATTACAGTGATGTTCATTAAAATATTATCATATTAACAAGTTATGATATTAATTGTTAAAGTTATAAGCGAGGTAATTCGACATTGTTTCTATACGAATTATATAATTTTTATTTGAATCTGTATTTTTAGGAATTTTAAAATTTCTCCGTTACTATCTTTGCACTGAAAGTAGGGCCTAAAAAATGGATATCTAAAAATTCAATTGTCTCTCTCTCTGTCATGTCGTCTTAAGAAGTATATCGGGAAGTATATATGGTCTTCTTTTATTTGCTTTTGAGTGTCGCTTAAAATATTGTCTGCGGGTTCTATGTGATTAATTCTGTGTTGTTTAAATGGTTGGTGTACTTGATCTGAAGATGGAATTGGTCGTTTTCCTTCAATTGTTCGGTCTGTTCATGTAATTAATATTTCTAGTCTTATGTTATTCGTATAATTCCATCGGAATTGGTGGTTTCGGTTGTATAGGTCTTTGCGGGTATAATTAAATTGTTTGGGCATTGGTAATTGTTTCGAAGGGTAAGCAGACACATTTTTGTATTGTATTGTATTGGATTGACAAAATTATTTTGATAATTATGATTTTGGGGAATTTGGTATTGCATATTTTTGAATGCTGCTGGTTGTCCTAAGTTTTGTATGCGACGCATTGGTTGGGGAATGTAGGCAAGATTTGGATAAAAAGGTTGCTTCGAATATTGTGTACTGAAATTTTGATTTTGTAATTTCATGTACAACTGGAGTGATTGAGGTGGGTCAGTTGGCTCATTTATTCCAATTAGTTTTGGTAGTTTGCCATTCAAACCTCTTACAAAAGTGTCAACTGCTTTATCGCGATTGGTTTTAGTTAATATATTTAACGATTCTTGACCTATGTCAAGACAAGCAGTTTAGTTCAATATTAAGGAAAGATGGGAAAATACTTCGTTAAAAAATTCGTTTATCGAATTATTTACTTTTAAAATGGCAGATATTTGGTACTCCAACATACTGAGTTTTTCTTTGGTCTTTGGAAATAAATTCTGTAATCTAATAGGTACATATGCATATATGTATATTTTTTACAATGTTTTGAAATTTGATAAGTTTTTGAATTGAAAATACGCTGCTGATATTAATTAACCTAGATAGTTATAATTCATATAGCAATTATATGTGTAATATATTATATATAAATATGTAGTAATAGCAATTAGATTTTCATATATGATTATTATTCGCGAATTGCCATATTTTAACAGTTATATGAGAATCTTCATATATTCTTGCGAATGACCGTTCAAACATACATACGTATAAATTTCATACAGACTTGTACTTCTTTTAACAATTGTATATACATATGTATATATTTTTATGCATATGTACATATATTGACTTGTGCTTTAAAGTTGAGTGCCCAGTTTATAGAATTGATACTGTTCTTAATGTGTTAGATGGGTTTCGTGGACCCAAAACGGCCAATTTTTAATAAATTTTAGTTCATATAAATTATTATTATATAAACTTTTTATTATTCCAAAGTTACATATGTATGTTACAAAGATTTTGTGAAATTTTCAAAGATAAACAGAAAAATATTCAAAACTCTGCCGCCATTACGACGTCATTCCCCACACTCCCTCGGCCAAGTGCCTAGGCGTAGACAGCAGAACTTCTGATAGGATCATCAGTAAAGTAAATAGAAAAAACCGCTTTAATTAAGACAATAATCTAGATGTTGGATGTATGGAAAACAAAACAAGTAAGGAAGGTCTAAGTTCTGCTGTGACCGCACATTTTATACTTTCGCAAGGTAAGGTGCCGGTTATCCTGCGAAAGTTTTCGTATATATGTCAACAAAACCATTTGTTTGCCAGAATATTTTGAAAAATGATCAATAAAGCGATTTTCGATGATTAATGTTTGCTTTTGTTCTCTAATGCCGAAATATAAAATGCAACTCTCGTATTCCAGCTGTCACTGTCGTTATTAGGTACGCTGTAAACAACGAATTGAGAGAGTTATAAAAGTTTTTTGTTTGCCAAACGTCTAATAATTTTGTAGAAAACCAATAACCGTGGGTATATGACATAAGCAGTGATCTTATGTGAAAAATTGCTGACTAATCAAACTGTTCTTAATCTTTTTTAATTGTTTTGTCTTAAAAATTAGAAACCGGATCAGAATCAGATTGCTTTGTTGTACTTTTGAGGTTTAACCGCTGGAAGAGCAGAATATCACAACAGAAATCATCCGATAGACTTGGCACGTTCAAAAATTGCTGGCAAGTGTAACTATTAAATAAATTTAAAAACTAAAGGTTTCTAAAAATAATTTTTCCTAGAGGATTTAATTTGAGAAAATTAATGCTTCACTGCTCTTATATTCGTGTATAAATAACAAATACAATTTATTTCCATTCATTCACTTTATTATTATTTATATTTTGTATATCTACTTTATACTAGTATATTTACTCTTCGCTAAATTCCGAGCTTAATTCTTTTTTGATTTCAATAACTACATACGTACATACTTATATACATATGTAGGTACATATATATGTATGTATGTGTAAGTATAAGCACATGTAGCTAACACAAAATTTTTGTTGTAAATATTTATTTAGCTTATTTGTAATGTGTATATATATATATTTTTAAATATCTAAATTTAATTTTTTGTCTTTTGTTGTAATAATTACGCTAGAGCTAGTTTACAAAAAAGAAAGAAAACGTAAAAAAAATTGAAAGCTGAAATTCGCTATACAAAAATATATATGTGTATACATATTTATAGTTTACAACCAAAATAATGTAAATAAAGTCTAAAAATGTTGTGAACTTTTTCTAGTTGTGAATAAAGTTTATATAGCCACTGCCGTGATTATTTTGCAAAAATAAATAAATTAGATAGAAAATATTTATTTAAATCGCATTTAGTCCTACTGTTTATTTAAAAATAATAACATTTTATTACAATATTATAAAAAAAATTTTGATAAGTTAATTTTTTAATACAACTTAACATCACATTACAAAAAATTAAAATAATTGGTTTATGCAATCTTTTGCAATTTCAATCACTGCTAGATTCTATGTTAGAAATCAACAAGTTTTTTCAGTCAAACAATTATATATAAAATTTTTTTTCTGTCATTGAAATATTGTTGTTTTGTTCTCTTTCAATGAAATATTATACCCGATTACCCTTGACAATAACCAATTAAAGTAATTAAGAAAGCAATTAGCCGG